GTTCAACATGCACACTTAATATACTTTGCTAATTCTTGTCTCATTTCTTCTTAAGAATATTTAAAAGTACCAAAAACCACATTCTCAATTTGTGTTTGTGTTGTTTCTTTCCATTCTTCTTCTTTTTCTTCATTCTCATGGGTGACCAAATGTCCACCCAAGTGGCCAGTACCACCCTTGCTACAGTAGCTAAAGTATTTCTTACATGTTTGGCAAATGACTCTTTTTCCCTTCCCCTCAACCTCCTCTACTTTTAAATATTTTCCAAAGTAGAATAATCAACCTAGTGGCCTTCTTTTTTCTTTCCCTTAGTATCACTATCAGTACTAGGGGTGGAAATTCTGTCAATATCAATAGCATCCATATCGGTGCTAACACTATCGTGTTGTGACTGAATATTGTCGACATTGATCATGTTGATGTTAGGGAATTGGTTTCAAGAGAAGCCTACCATTTTTTAAATTTCTAAAAAACAAAAATTAATTTAATTGTACTAACTCTCGGATTGCCAGTTTGGAATCTCAATTTGATTTCTACGGTTGAAGCCTTCAAGCCTCCCAAATTGTTAACTTGAGATACTTGAGCAAGCCTTCTTTTTGTTGAAAATTCAATAAAGCTGAAAATTAGAGAGTAGAGTGTAGAGAGAGAGAGAGAGTATGAGAATCAAAGAATGTATGAGAGATTGAGACTTGATAGAGTATGAGAACTTGAGAAGAGAATTGTTGAATTGGTGTGATGAGAATGGCGGAGGATAGGGCTATTAATAAGAATTGAAAATAATTCAATTGCCCAAAATACCCTAAAAACTAGTCGTTTTGTAATTGTTAAGAGGGGTATTTTGGTCAGTATAAAGTTATTTATCACTTTACCTAAATGCCCCTAAACTAGTAATTATATAGCTATTGGAGGGGCATTGCTATCATTTTTTCTCCCCTCAAAGCCAAAATACATAAACACCCCTTATATAGTTGTTGGGGGTATTTTTGTAAAAGAACCCCAAAAAGCTTAAATTAGCCATTGGGAAGGGTACCCCAATAGCTAGTTCATTGGGCGGGCCTAGCTGTGTCGTGCTACGGGTTAGGTTGTTCAGGCATGCGGGCTGTGGGCGGTACAGCACGCCTGTGGGCATGAAACCCCTAGCCTAATACGACCTGCATTTTTCATGTCGGGCCAGCCAAAAGTCATGCCCCAAGTGACACAACCCAATTTACAACTGTAGAATCAGGGTATATCCAAATCCGATCCAACACTATTCATGTCAGATCGGATCCGATTTGAAGATCCAATTGGATCTAATAAGCCTTGATTTGAATTTGAATCCTATCGGTAAGTTCGATCTTTGAATCTGATCCGATCCGACTTGTTTTCTTTAAAATTAATAAATTATTAAAAGAAAAATAAAATATACCAATTTAAGTAAAGAAAAAACAAAAAATATAGATTTTTTTATATTATTTTCATCATATATATACATGTTTTTTATAAAAAATAAATAATATAACAAATTTATAAAAGTTCAATATAAATAATATATTTATAAATAAATAAATAACATATATATATATATTATATTTATATTTATAAATATATAACATATATCGGATCAAATCTTCTCGAATTGGATAGGGGTGATCCAAATGCAATCTGATTTCTGATCATAGAGTTTGGATTACAACCAATAACTTAGAGAGGATGAATTACAACCACTCGTAGCTTCAAACTCTAATGTGAGTAAGTTGATGCGGTATTCTCTAATAAGGTGAGACTTGCAACGAGAAAGCTGAATGCTGAATGTGAAACAACAAGAGTGGCCAAAGAAAAAGAGACACACACATCCCACATACAATGAATACATTAGCAAACCGTGATTAGTTGTTGAATGACACTTCTGGTGGTATTGCAACGGCAGATGGGCTTTTATAAATTTTAAACGGGTTAGATGACATTGACATGTAACTTTCACTAAGGTAGGGTATGTTTAAATCTAGTGGGTGAGACCCTAAAACATATTTAAGTCAAAGTTTCAACCCTCCTAAACAGGTAGGAGTTCACTTGTCTACCAAAAAAAGTGATAACTAGCTCCTCTCTTACTCATCCAATGCTCTTCAAATCTTTCTCCTTTTTTTTAAATAAAATCCCACAATTTCAAAGACGGATCCAATGTAAAAGCATTGAGCATACATGGCAGTGTTTTTCTTTTATTTACTTTTACTTTTTCTAAAGAAACAATACTTGTCTTCACATTGAAAAAAGAAAGGAACCGATACTTGTCTTGTTATTAAAACAAGAAATATTTCTTATCGGCAAATAAGAAATTGATACTCTTCAACAAGCTAATAAATACCCTCCCATGAGGTTATACAGTCTCTTATTGCGGTTGTTGAAGATCCTTGTCATCTATGTTCTAGCAGCCGTAGCAGGTACACCTCTCTTCCACATTTTATTGTATATATACGACCTTACTCAGCATCCGTTGCCCCCCACCCCCCCTCTCGTTGATAGATTTTCTATTTTTGTAAATGCAAATGCATTTTATATATATATATATATATATATTAAATCTGTAGAATAATTTAGTTGTAATGGTATTTATTCATTCCTTTCGTTTCCCCTTGTGAAGTTGCATGTGTCAAGTTAGATAGAAAGAAGAATATTAAATCAATCAAAAGAGAATGGGACTACGATGTGGTACAATTAAGACCTCGTTCTTTTGTCAGGCACATAGTTATTGGGATTCTTTTGTAAGAAATATTATCAAGATTAAAAAGACAATTTTACCAAACAACCCCAACTTGTATATGCTGATAGAAACATTTTAGTCTTATAATAGTATGGCCAATAATTCTTTTGCCTTATTTACTTGGAAAATAAAAGAACATGAATAAATGCATTTATCCAGATAAATATTTTTTAGAAAACACTTACTCGAATAAATGCATTTATCCAAATAAATAATTTACCGAAAAACGAACAGGGCCTAAGTGATTTATCCACTTAGCAGAAGAAGAGTAACACTTATCAAAAGAAGTAATTTACCCAAGGGAAATACACTTTCAGTGATTCCTTCCCTACAAAAAATAAAAAAAAAAATGCAAGATTGACCAACTTTGCCCCCATCCATCTACCCTCTCTCTCTCTCTCTCTCTCTCTCTTTTGAACAAACAAATATTGTATAATCAGCGAAAACAGAAGAAGAAAATTCACTAGATCTGAACATGACAAAGTAGAAGAAACTCCAAGAAAAAAACAAACCAAACAAAGGGGGCTATTGAAGACTTGACAAGAAAAAGGGGCTTCTAATACAAACCTTGGATTTTATATGCTAACCAATAAACTCTGTGTGATAGGTGTCTATGACTTAGGGCTTGTTCATTTCCTCTTAACTCTTATATCTTAAGAGGAATCTTACAATTTTAACAGTAAAATGGGTGTTATTATTATTATTATTATTACTGATTACATGGAATATAGCTACTGTACTTTAGCTACGGTCGTAAACAACCGTAGCTAAAACATGGAATATAGCCACGCACTGCTTCATGTCCGTGGCAAAATGATGAACTTTAGCTACGGACATTTTCTGTAGTTAAAAGCTCTTCGTTCGTAGCTAAAAGATACTTATAGCCACGGTTTTAAAGTTTCCGTCACTATAAGTTACAAAAGTAGAATTAGACCTATAACCACGGTCGTTTTGTTTGTAGCTAAAGCTCTTTATTTGTGGGTAAAAGCTACTTATAACTATAGCCACAGATAATAGTTATCCGTGGCTAGAAATTGATTAGAAAATATTATAAAACAATAAGTATATTAAGAATTAATAAACTAATAAATATTTAATAAACAGATAAAAATTAATAAGCAACTAAATATTTATTAAAATAATATTTAATAATTAAGGATTTCTATTAATAATAATCAAACTATCAAATAATTTATTAATAATTTCATAAGTACATTAATAAAAAGATAGTAATTTATAAAATATAAATAAATAAACATTGATTATTGTTTAATTAATTAAAACTAATCATAAAAAAATTAATTTAATTATTTAAACAAAATAATAATTTAAATAAATTAATAATAGTTAATTATCAATGAAAAATAATATTGACAATTAAACTAAATTATTTAATTTCATAAAAAATTATTTATAAAGTAATAGTATAGTAATTATTAATTAAATAATTAATAAATGAATACTTAATTAATTAATAATTGTATGTGCTTCATGGACCAAAGGCACCTTGGCTCACCCATTTTACCAAGAAATTAAACCCGTTTTTCCTCAAAATGTAATTTTTAGCTTTTTTATTTATAAAAGATGAAAAACTAAAAAGAGTTATAAATAAGATCTATATATATTATTTATTCTATATATTTCAAAACTATATTATTTATTCAATATAATAAAACATATACACACTACCAATGCTTAAAAAGGTGAACCAAACCGGCTAGCTAGTCGGTCTATATACTAGTTCGATCCTACCACTAACCTTGTTCTCTTAAAAAAAAGGGGCCAAAACTGTACACCTAGCGGGTCCAACTTAAGAACCAATGAATCAGTCCTGGTTTTGTGTAACTACTAATCAATTTTCTCACTTTTTTAATTACTTTGAATTTATCTTGTATGTAAACTTTTATTTTAATTATACTCTGAATGCACCTTACCTTGCTATATTTGCGGAAAAAAACACCTGTTTTTTGGCATCAAATCCTAACTTTTTATATTAAAATTTTCAAGGTAGAATAAAAGATATATGTTATAATAGACTTTGAATTTATGGATTTAATTTATTTTAAATGGATAATAAATCAATAAAAAGTATTTTCCACACAACCCGCTCTTAATTTATATTAATTTATTCTATAATCAAAAATTATTGAATCAAATATTACATTAATTGGGAAAGAACCGAACCGGCATAATCAGTTTGGTTCGGTTCAGTTAAGTCTGGCAAAACCAACCCATTGACAACCCCAAGTGAGAGGGGTTTTGTTCTATTCGAAACCCTCTTCTGCTCTTCGTCTTTACGGTCTGCTCTCCCTCTCCCTCTCCCTCTCCCGCTCTTTGTCTTTCCTCTCACTCTCAGTCTCACTACGCTGACCCCCGAAGTCGCCATTCGCAACACTGGCCATCGTAGTGGCTTAGCCCTATTAATCGAGCCCTATCTCAGCCTCTCTCATTCTCATTTCTCACTTAGCACTACCACCGCTGTTCATTGATCTGGCCACCCATTCATAGCCCTCGACCGCTCCGACCACCCATTCGGCATTGTCTAAGCAATTGTCTTGTCGTTTACTCACTGTTAAGGACTGGAGTTCGGCAGCTGATAGCGATTCCAGGTCTACCAACGTTTGGTTTAGAACAGGAAGATCGATTCCAGGTCAATAACCTTTCATGTAGCGTGTGAAGAAACCCATCTGTGTTTCTTTTTGTTTTTTCTGCAATTTTTCCTGTCTAATATGTTGTATTTTTTATAGATTATCTGTTTTTTTTCTTCGATTTCAATCATCTTCTCACAAAACCTCAAACTGTCATTTGTTCAGAAGCCACTTAAGAGTCTAATGAGAAGCTACACTTGTAATCCCTTTGCTCTCTCCTACTAATAACCATTATCACCTTCATTTTCGCTATTGTTCTTATTTTTAATTTCTTCAATCTAAACCTTCTGCTACTAATGATACTTTTCACAAAATCTGATCAGACGTGATTTGCTCAACATTTCGCCTACTCTAACCGAGGCTGCTGGTGCCATTGTTGATGTAAGTTTCTGTTTTTGGATCTCTACTTCATTCACTTCGACATTGTTTCTTCTTTTTCTAGTTCTGTTCAGATAAATGCAACAACATATTTAGTGGTGCCACCTCAGTTGTACAAGAGTTTTGGGTGTTGAAAAAGAACAAGGTTTCCTAAATGTACACATTTTCATCGACATATTTATTTCTATTCTGATATAGAATACCTATGGGGCGGGAGATTATTGTAAGACTTGGTGATTAAAATGGTACTTGATTTATTTACTTAGGGCTCTGAGGTTGCACAATTCTGAGGCTTATTTTGGCTCTATAGGCCCATATAGCTCTGTCCCAAACAGATTCCACAAAGAAAAATATATTTTTGAAACTTCTGACATACTGAAGCTTAGAAACATACTGAATGATAGAAGGATACACAAGTAAAGGTGTGGTTCAAGTGAAAGAAAGAGAAAAAGAAAAAATGAAAGCTAGTTACTTAATAGAGATATTATCCAAAAGAGAGCAAATAGGCAGAACGGGATTCATGTAACCGGTTGCAAATAGTTATATGAGATGAAAATGGATGGACAAGGAGGATTTGTAGCCATTAGGCTGTCGCAAGTTTCATTTGGCTCAAATTTATATCATCAATAGTATGGAAGGAGCAACACTGTATGGGTAAAACTGGCATGTTTAAAGTGTCTTTTCAATTTAATATATTCAAGAAACAAATGTCTACTGGTGAGTGCCTTAGGTGAACAAGCAGATATTGTCAAGTGTGGATTTGAGATGTTAGTAGGAGGATCGGCCAAGCTAGTAACAACCTGCAAATCCCATTCCAATAATTTGAGATGAAGTTGTACCAAAGGAATGAACAGAATATTAGAAAACCAATATAGAGACAAAATCCAAAAAAACTGCTCAACGTAGAGACAAAATTCACATTTACCAGTCCAGGTATCTGCATAATAAGATTGATTCCAACTTACACAATGTACACGAGGAATAGTCTTCATAAGAAGGCATGGTTTTCACAACAGCTGGATTCACCCATTCCTAAATCTATGCATTTAAATTTCTACAAAAGTTAATCTTTTTTCTCTCTTCCTTTCCACTATAGGCAACTAACCGAACAGCAATGGCTTTCTGATAAGAAAAATACTTGCATATCCCACCTAAGTGGTCTACTTGTTATTGTAATGAAGTACATTTCATTAAAGAAAAATGCTAGTGTTATTAATAAGGAGTGTTGTGGGCCTTATTTCCTTAAATTACAAGAAAAATGATAAAACCAAATAGGGGATGTTTTGCAAATAAATGGGTTATGTGCAATTTAGTTTTGTTATTTTGTGATTAAAGGGGAAGGGTAGGACCAATGAAGCAACCATCAGTCCCCATTACAAAATTGAGTTCCCAGACCTGCTCCTTTGTTCTGAACCTGGTTTAGTTGTTTCCCAAACCATCTTACCTGAACCTGTCTCCCATAGCCTAATGTAACCAGGATGGATGAAGGTTCAGTCATAGCTTTGTTATTGATAAAAAAATGAGTTTAAAATTTCAGAACTAAACAGGGAGTTGAAAGCTCTTGAGGGTATAATGGTGTCCACCACCAAGGAATCTCTTAAAATTAAACTTTGATGGCTGTAGTCTATGCAATCCTGGAATTTTAGGCATTGGAGGAGTTTTCAGAAACCATGAAGGAGGGGTGACTGCTATTATTCAGGACTAATCAAGTAAAAGAAATCAATGGAAGCTGAATAAATTGCAGTACTTTAGGGACTAAAGTTGGGCTAGTCACTTGGGTACAAAAATTTTATAGTGGAAGGTGACTCAAGGACAACCATTAAGTGGCTATGTGAAAACTGTCCAGTTCCATGGAAACAAAGGCACATGGTAATGGAAGCAAGGAATACAGCAAGGAAGCTGAATACTACAGTGGTCTGGTCATGAAGAATGGCAAATTATGTGGTCCAAACCAATTGTTTTAGGAGACTAGAAATAATGAATGGGAGGGTAATGTAATGGAAAGAAAATGAACTACCAATCATGGTTGCCACTAGATATATCCCAAATTGCACTTGGATCTTAAAACAACCAAAATCAGTCATAGGTAAACTTACTAAAATCCTACAATAGTAAATTCTGTGTTGGCACTTGAAAGAGTCAAAGACAAATAATTGAATCAGCAATAGTGATCACTTATCCGTTGTAGATGCAGGGATCTGGTAGATCATTCCAATGGATTGACCCACATGAGTAATTGTAGTAGGCAAACAGCAATCTCGAATCTGTGGTAGCAACCTTATACCATAAATGCCGAAGAAGAGATATCTTCAAGGTGTCTGTATGGTTCTAAATGTGCCAAAATCCAGTCATAAATTATAATCAGAGATCTGACCACCATTGGCAATCCAAACTAACTCATAATCAAACCAACAGTAACAGGAAAACGCTAGCCCAAGTTGGAGATGATGGTTTTAATATTGCTTTTGGTGTGATTGCTGCCTAATAAGGCTGCAAGAGAACAAGTACCTTGCGGACTCAGCTCCCTCCTTCCCCTGCTTCCTCTCCCCAAGCTTCATTGTTTTTTTCTTCCTATTATAGACTCTACTTGTTTCCTCCCCCCCCCCCCCTTTTTCTTTTCTTCTTCCGGGAAACCAAAATCTGAAAATGCAAATGGCAATTGGCCCCATCTTTCTCTTTCTCTCTCTCTCTCTCTCATCAGAAGGTTGTACAATGTACGTGGTGTTTAGTTTCCAAGTTCCAACCGTATCCCATTAGAGAAGACTCCCCAAAACCAAAAGTTGTTCCATCAAAACTCAAAAGCAACTTTGCTTCATGCAATTCATCCTGGGCATTTAGTTAGTGTTAGAGCATCTTCCTCAATTATTTGGATTGGAGCAATTGAATTTCTGGGAGCATGGGGCTCAGGTTAGAGCTCAGGTTAGAGCTCAGGTTAGATTTGGTTGTTATAAAATTTGAAGAATTGCTTCATGAGGCCTGAATCTACATTCTACAATTCAAGAGATGGTTGTATAGATTGTCTATTATAGGGTGGCAGGAAAGAATTAAAGTTAGAGACAAAGCAGGTGGTACTAACTGGCACTTCTGATTGATGTATGATTGGGACCCCAAACTCATTGTGTGGTTTCCCTTCCTGAAACAGAGAGTGAAAGCTTTGACTAAGACTTAAGGGAGTGGTGCTGCTCTGCCTCACTACTTTCACTCACTCATCGCTCAAGCGCTCGGGTCAAATCAAAGCACTCGGCTCAAGCGCTTGGGATTGAGTTTCATGTATTTAAGAACCTTGAACTTGTAATAGATTTTAAACACATGGATATATTAAAACACCTTGAGATGCAATTCATTTTTTCATTATAAAATCTTTTATTGGAATTCTGAATTCAAGTTTCATCTTTTATTATGAATTGAATATGTTGTGCTTATATTTGATGCAGGAAAAAAATGCCATCAACCATATATCAACAATTTTAGCTATGAATAGTTAAAAACCGTAGCTATGATTCATGTTTTTTTTGCTAGAGACTACTGAGACCATAGCTATAGGCTCTTATTTTAGCTACGGACAACTTAAGTTCATGGTTATAGTTTTTAACTTTTAGCTACGATCAAAGTAAATTGTAGGTATAGATTCATATTTTTAGCTACGGTCATCTCAAAGCCGTAGCTATAGATCTAAATGTTATAGCTTTGGGCATTTCGAAACCGTACCTATAGAGCAACATTTAACTACGGTTGTAAAACAAACTGTAACTATAGTGTCAAATTTGTAGCCATGGTTAACTAAAAAACCGTAGCTAAAACTTCACATATAATTATTGAATTGGTCTTTAGCCAGACATAAACTGTAGCTATAAATTAGTTTTAGCTACGGATGATAGCATCCGTAGCTATTACCTATAGCCACCGCGACTTTAACTACTGTTTTCTGACTGTAACTAGTCCATAGCTATAAACCTATAGCTACGGTTTTTTGGATTTTTAGCTATGGTTTTGTCCGTAACCAAAGATCATTTTTCTTATTGTGATTGTAGAATAGGATTTGGAAAGAGAGTTCCATACTTCATAAGAGGATCGCAGACCAACTACTTGTCCCATAGTGGTTTCGGTCAAGGAAGAGAAGAGACAACTGAGAACAAGTTGATCCAATTGGAACCACTTTTCATATGCTGGATTGATTACCTTCTTGCTTGAATCATTGGGATCTGGGATTTCCTTGGCAGGAGCAATGCTGGAACCATCAACTATGCCCATTAGTTTGAGTATAGAGGTTGGGGATGAATTATGCTCTCCAAATTAAGTAGTTTTTTTTTTCTCTTCCATAAAAAAGTAGTTTTTTTTTTCAACTCAACCAACAGATAGTGTGTCATGCACATTCGGTAACTGAGGAAGAGAATTGGAATCATCAGAGTGAAGACATGAGTCACCGGGAGGAAGCAATGAGTGAAGGGTTTGATACGTGTGTCATGCACTTTCCTTTGGGAACTATTTGAAAAAATAAGAAATCTAACAAATAAATAAAAGAGTACTTAACCAAATACAAAGTCAAAGAGACAAAGACTCAAAGTAGACAACAAATTGAAAGAAAAATAGGGATTTTATTTCATTTCAATTTGAATAATACAAATCATATAATGGTTGGATGAATAAAAAGTTACATTATTAAAAAATATCAAGTAATTTAAATAAAATTAAAACAAAATTTACAATAATTTGAAAAAATGCTATACAACTATTGAGTATACAAAAAATATTGACTTCATCATGTTCTTTAAGTTCCACCTAGACCTCCATCTCGTCGACTTTGATCATCTACTTCAGGTGAAATATCAAGTGTATTGTTATGCCCAACTTTGTCTTATAATCTATCCTTAGCATCCAACAATCTTTAAAGCAGATGCACATCTCCAAACTTTTATCATTCATGCAGCTTTTCTTGTTGTCCAACACCCTAGTACCTGCACTTAAACAAGATTTCGATGGAACTGTAGTCACTAGGGGTTAGTA